CTTTAAACTTATGCCATTTTTCTTGTCTCTCGTCACCAGATGGCCGTGAGTGCGTCAATTGTGGCGCCACACAGACGCCCTTGTGGAGGCGCGATGGAACTGGGCATTACCTCTGCAACGCCTGCGGTCTATACCATAAAATGAATGGAACTAGTCGACCGTTGATAAAACCAAAGCGCAGAATGGTAAGCTTGACTTTTTTAGAGTCACATTCGACTCGAGAGTTCATTTTCACTTCAATTCAAGTCATTGTGATTGTCCCTACAGCTGCCTAATCTTCATCTCTCTTGCTCATTTAGTCGTCCAATCGCAAGGTCGGCACAATCTGTGCCAACTGCAACACAACTCACACAACCCTCTGGAGGCGAAACCAACAAGGCGACTCTGTTTGTAATGCTTGTGGTCTTTACTTCAAGTTGCATCACGTAAGTCACTTGACAACCGGCTGCTTTTCATTCAAACGTTATTCTATTTTACAGCTCAAATTGCCTCCTGCCCCAAACAATTTTGCTAAACCAGTCTTCTCTAAACAAACTTTGCTGTCGGATTCATTGAACGATCAGCCTTATCCGAAGTGGGTTTTGCTTCTATCACAAGACCTTGAATCAGATCTCTATTCATCCTAGTAAACATAGAGGAATGAAGATAAGATAGTTGAAATTAATGGATTATAGAATACTTTGAATATGAGAAATTGGGGTAGAAATTTGAGTAAGAATTACTTATGATTGGTTGAATGATTGAAAGAGAGAAAGCGTATCGAATCGCCATCCAAAAAGGCAACTCAAACTGTCAGCTGACTGATGGTTCTAAGCAAATTCACACTTGTTCAACAGGCATGCCAAATTCATCAACCAGAACAGCCATGCTATTTCTTGGGTCATTAAACTTAATGACCCCAGACTAGTGGGTTCTGACTGGCGGTTTTGTAACCTGACTGTCCCAGATACAGGCTTACATCTTATCAATTCAGCCAGAGTTACTTAAGGACTTGCGAAATCTCGGTCGGGGTCTTTTCTTGGTTCACTAAGCCTTGATGACTCGGGGTTAACTTGAGCTTCTTTTCTAATTACTCTGACTTATAGTCGGTTTATTTTCGAATAGATGTTAACAAACACACAGATACAAACGCACTAAATTATAAGAAAATTAACCAAACTTTTCTATCAATCTATATATCTATCTATATCTATCTATATCTATATCTATCTATATCTATATCTATCTATATCTATCTATCTATATCTA